GTGGTAAGTAACACAGCACTGTAAAAAAATGTTTTCTCAGGTAACCTAAAATGTGCATCATTTAGTTACATCAAGGGTCAAATCAAATATAAATAGCACATTAAAGTTAAAAGTTACACACTTTTTTTGTGTGTGCGCTGTGCAGGTCTGGTATACTTTGGCTTCAATAATCCAAATCCATACTATATCTCCAGTAATAGTAAGATGAGATTGAAATGCTCCAAACATATAATGCAGTGATTGAGAGCTGAAGAAATAAAGGCTCCTCCTCAGATGTGAGATGTTCTGGAGGCTTGTGAAGATCATTCCTCCGCTGAGGAACAGTGAAAGTAAAGCTTCTGGAAACAAACGCTCCTCAAAAGATCCTGAGGATCAGATTTGAGACTCTAAAACATGATTGATGGAGAATCAAGTAAAGCTGAGCTGCTTCAGTCCAGTAAGTGTTCATCTGGAGATATTACTGCAGTTATTCTGACGCTTACTTGATAAAAACCAGTCAAGATTTGACTCGTGAAGCTCCAGCTACAGTTACACTAAAAGAGCTTCGACTGGATAAAACACTCTAAACTCTCAGTCAGAGACAGAAGGCATGCAGGAGATCGAGTGAGAAACAGGTTTAACAGCAAAAACTGATAATTTAGAGGCCTCTGCATATCAAATATGATCGCTCAGCTGTATGGTTTGCTCATGAATCTCTCGTTCTCCAGGGTTCCCACGCTCGCCGTCTGGGGAGGAGTTGGAGGTGTTGCTCTCGTTTACTTCACCGACTGGAGGCTCATCTTGGACTACGTTCCCTACATCAATGGGAAGTTCAAGAAGGATGATTAGACGAAGGTTTGTCATGTTTACCTCTATTTAAACTGTCTGGAGTTCAAGAACAATGACTTATTTTCATAGACACTACTGTATGATATGAAAACTTGTTTTTTTTACTGCTCAAACAACAAAAACTAAATGGATTTGAGTCATTTTTGCTCCAAAAATGTTTTATTTTTACTGCTTGTCAGAACAAAGACAAAGTGACTTTTCGTTCAATGCTGCTGTCTTTATTCGCTGCCTGTTACTTACATTGCTCTCCTTGTTCCTGTAGGTCAGTCCTGCTGTAGTTTAGATGTGTTGAAGATGGAGATGTTTGTCACTGTTGGAGATGAAGACATCAGACTGCTCATCACTGCTAATGAACAATGCATCCATCAATCCATCTTTCCCTCGTGATTGTTTTTCAGTGTGGATTGTACTCATGAAAAGAGTAAAGTCTCACGATCAAAATCTAATGGTTATAAAGCTGTAATGCCGGGATGTTTTCTATGTTTCTATAATAAAGCTTCATCATTTGTTTCCACTGAATCCTCCTGGAATAAATACTCTGCAGTTCTGTTATTGAGAACGTCATCGTGGACCTGAACTCTGCTTTTTAATTCTGTCGTGATCTCCGCTCATCCGTGGGTTACTGGTGATGCTTGTTAATAAATCAAAGAAAATTAGTTTGAGGTGTTTATGCTTTATGATCACCTGGTATACATATGCACGAGTTTACCAATATTAATGTGTTTTTACATTAGCCTGGTTCCTAAATGTAATGAATTAATTGTTTTTTATTTTCAGTTAAGATCTTGGATTAATGTGCATAAGTTTTTAAATCAGGCTTCAAATCTTCCTGTACACCAGTGTTATTTTAGTATCATTGATATGCAATTGTTTTTTTTATATATATTTTTATTTTACATTTTTAGTCATATTGTTGTCATTTAAAAAAAAAAATAATAATTTTTTGTTTATTTAGTTTTAGTATTTAAACCAAACACAAAAAGAGAAACATTGCCTTTGCAACTAGCTGAAATAAAATGCATTCAAGTTTCTTTTTTTAATTAAATTTTTATTACCTTTGATGTTATTTATTTTTGGTTTTATTTAAATGTTTGTTTAATTTAGATTGGTCACTATATATAGTGAATTTAGATTACTGGTCTTTAAAAGTTTTTGCGTCTTTTACTTGATATGAATAACTTTCTTGATACAGTGAACCGATTCTGACCGAACAGAAAGATCCGATTCTACGAGTCATAATCCATCGCTCAACTTTGTTAAACAACAATCGACTCTGAAATTGCTACAGACCTCCCGAGGATTACAGCAAATATGTTTTCAGCGCGTTTCTTTAGTTAAATAAGGATTTTTGACGTATTTACGTCTCCGCAGATAAATGAACTGCGAGTCGACTCTCGGTTCAGAGAGTTGTGAGTCAGAAGCTCGTGAGGTGAGCGGATCGAGAGCAGCGCCCGGCCGCCTTTAACCCTAAACATTCACAGCTTTTCCTCCAGAGACTCCGGGAGAAACATGGAGAAGAAAAGGTGGGAGTGCTCGGCTCTCCCAAATGGTTGGAAAAGGGAAGAAGTGACCAGAAAGTCGGGCTTGTCCGCGGGGAAAAGTGATGTCTATTATTTTAGGTACTGCAGCGGGATTAGCCGGAGACCAGCGAGCCGAGACAAAAAACTGCCTTTATATATTAGTTAACAATCTCTAATCCGACCTCAATCGGCTATCTGAGTATTCTAGTACGTTAGTATCCCAGATTACTGTTGTTTGTCGTGCGTCCGTGAAACTAACCGTGTTTTGGCGTCTCGTGCGAGTTAGCACTGAGTGCTAATCTGCGCTAGCAGCCATGCTAACTCATTGTTTTGGTTCTGTTGATCTAGTTTAACTATTGTTTTGTTCTAGTTTCAATTGAATAAATATTTCCATGTAGTCTGACTATCGTTTATATTCGAGTCTGCGCTGTATTAATGATAAAAACTGCTCATTTAATCGGATAACACTGGTAAGTGATGCAGCGGCAGCAAAAGTTCAATTAATGAGGAATTTGTGATTATTAATAATCGCTTATTTATCAAGAGAATAGCTGGATGAGCTGAAACATTCAGTTTATGCTATATAGATTTATATAAATGCTAGTTATCATTTGCACCATGATATTACGTCTGATAATGTCACTTTATTATGGTACCAACACAGTTTTTAGGGGTCTTTCTAGTGTGTGTATATATATATATATATATATATATACATTTTGCATGTTACAAATATAATAAAAACATAATTATACTAATAAATATATAAATATATATATACACACACACGCTGCTGGTCAAAAGTTTGGGATCAGTAAGATTTGTAATGTGTTTTAAAGAAGTCTCTTCTGCTCATCAAGGCTATATTTATTTGACCAAAAATAGAGAAAAAAAACTATTATTGTGAAATATTTTTGCAATTTAAAATAATGGTTTTCTATTTTAATATACTTTAAAATAATAATTTATTTCTGTGATGCACAGCTGAATTTTCAGCATCATTACTCCAGTCTTCAGTGTCACATGATCTTCAGAAATC